CTGGGGGCGGAGAGGAGGAGGTGCAGTGGGGGTCGCTCCTGGGTCCGCGCGGCCGCGAAGCGTGAAGCGGGGTGGCGGGTGCCAGGCACTTTTCGGTTGGCCAGCTCCAGTCCGGGATCCTTCCAGACGGCCCCCAGATGAAGGGGGACCAGGATGAGGGAGGACAGAGCGAAGACTAGAGAATCGATTGGCACCTCCGCCCACCTTCCTCCCCGCCCCCGCCCCCCGAAATCTTTTCTAGAAGGATTGATTGAACAGGTTCCTGGATCCTCTCTCCCTCTCCCTTCCTCTCTAAAATCAATAAAAATATATATTTTTAAAAATAATCAACGTTATAATGAACCTCCTCTTTTTTTTGGTCGCCTTGCCACGTTCGGGTAAATGTGGTACAGATTATTCCCCCTACTTAACCGACAAAGAAACAGAAGTTCGGTCGCCCGGAGAGAGAGAGGTGGGTTGCGACGACAATCGCGTGGCCAGGTGGAAGGGGGTCGCCGTGGGCGAGGGCACCGGAGTGGGTAAAGTGGGGAGAAACCTGGTGGAGGCAGGTGCGGGAACTTTTCGGTTGGCCAGCTCCAGTCCGGGATCCCTCCAGACGGCCCCCAGATGAAGGGGGACCAGGATGTGGGAGGACAGAGTGGAGACTAGAGAATCGATTGGCACCTCAGCCCACCTTCCTCCCCGCCCCCGCCCCCCCGAAATCTTTTCTAGAAGGATTGATTGAACAGGTTCCTGGATCCAAACTCCTTGAGGTGAGACGGGTTTCAGCTCTGTGTCCCCCGCACTCCTAACTGTATCTGGTTGGGCTAACCCCTCGATTTGCATCCAAGGTTGGAAACAGAATCAAGCTTGTTTAAGGAAGGTGGTCTGTAATTCTCATCTGCGTCTCAGACTTCCCGCCTGTCAGTTGCTGTGAAAACAGTCGGGCGGGGTTCTTAAAGGTTTGGAGTTTCTTAATTACTTTACTGACGAATATTCTTTTAGTAGAAGCTTGTCTTAGGCCTGCAAGGGCACTTTCCCTGCCCAGCACAAACCACAACCAAAAGGAAGACACTTTAGGGATACACTAACATACCCTAAAAGCAGGCAGAGAGCTGTAAAACAAACTATAAAAGTCACTTTAGTGTCACTTTAAGGCACAAAGTACATAAAGTAAAAATTCCTTTAGATGAACGCAATAAATAAGATTGTACTTTAGCTTCATATTGTTTTTATAAAAGAGAGAGACCAGTCCGGTAGAAAAGAAAGAACAAAGCAAGGGGGAAAAAAAGGCGGGGAGGGAATAACGAAGTAGACAATGTGGGTAAAAGAGACCCAAAAGGGAAAAAAAATCCATAGATCATTCATAATAGCTCAGACACAAACAGGTATGTGTGTCTATACACATTTTAAAAAGAAAGGTAGAATATATAGAGAGAGACATAGAGAAAAGTAGAAATAGTGGAAAATAGAAACACAGAGACACTAATTCATAGAAAAATATTAAAATTTTATATTATAAAATTTCTGCTAAAGACTCAAATGTAACGTTTTGCAATTATAAGTAATATTTGCAGATTTATGCAATTATAAAGGATGGAATGGAATTATAGAAGAATAGAAGACTTTGGGGTTCAATAAACTTGTCTTAATCCCATTTCCGTTTCTTATCTGCTATTTGATTTTGGAAAATTAATTTCCCTGAGCCTCAGCTTTCTCATCCATATCATGGGGGTCGTTGTTTCTACTTTATGGGCTTGTTTGAGCTTTAAATACGATGGAATGTAAGTCACTTAGCCCAGTGCCTCTCTCTAAATACATCATAGCTATTATTATTATTACTATTAGTTTATTTTAATCCTGCCCTTTGTCTTCTGGTAAATTAAGTTAAAGATTAGATTTCAATCGTAGTAGGTTCTCTCCTGACTTCACAGAATGCACCAGGTACTTAAAGCTTACAAATTCTTGGCAAGTCTAAAATAAACTGTACTTTTTTTTTTAAGGGGAATTATATCTTTGGGTGAACTGCGGGCACCCAATTACAGTCAAGATCAACAGTATGGCCTGAAAAGCCCTTGCAAATAAGAGGTTTGCAGAAGCAAAAAGGAAGAGAGTGTGCTGTCGTTCTCCCTGGTCGCTGTTAATTATAGAGGTAAGGATCAGGTTCCTCCTTAGTAATAATCAACATCGCTATAGCACCTGTTGGTTTACAGCGTCCTTTTCACATCATCTGACTCACATGGGCCGATTTCTTTTCCCCCCATCTTCCTTCCCCTTGACCTCCAGTCATTTTTTTTTTCAGTTTGCAAAAGAGGCAATCAGAAATGTCAATAGAAAAGTCCACGCTAAATAGCTAGCGTGACGCCAGCGGGGCCTTAAAGGTCAAGCTGGAGGTAATTGCCTCATCACTGTGACCTGCTTCTGATCACACAGGACGGCAGGCCAAAGACCTGTGGCTCCGAGCTCTCGGGTAAACAAAAAAGTGCTAGGTCTGGTCTAGAGAGAGGACACAGTTCACAGCCCTTTCTCTTAGTATTTGTCCAAGTGGGTGGGAAGGAGGTGGAATAAAATTGAAAGATCTGAGAGAATCTGTCTAAATTTTCATTTGCATCTGGGAGATAAAATTATCTCATATTGAGGGAATCTGGAAATCCATTTTTTTTTTGAGTTTATAAGAGTTGTTGAGAAATTCAAACCCAAACTTCATCGAATAATATCTGGCCGATATTGTTATCATTCAATTTATGTAGTGTTGGTCAGGCATTATAAAACTCCACTCCTCTTTCTCTACTTCCCAGAAGCTTGGAATGAAAAGGATCTGCACTAAGTTGTGTCAGATTCCCCAAATTGCATTGACATTGCAATGACCCTGGTTTCAAGAACTTTAATGCAGGGTTTCTCACAAAAGCTAGTTGTCAGTTATCCCTCTTATTCTTTTCAAATGCTGGTAGTTATTCACAAGACAAGAAACAGGACACACCCAGATACCTACCTTGAAGACCATATGAGCAATTATATTTCCCTATCAGCCTGCTGTGACTAAGCACTTTGCATGCATTATCTATGTTTGAAAATTGCAACAAGCCTGTAGGAAAGGTGGTAGAATCCATACTTGACAGAAGAACCTAAGGTGCGCTGAGTTCACTGGAGAGGCTTAAAGAAACAAAGAGCTGATAAGAATCAAAGGCAGGCCCTAACCGGTTTGGCTCAGTGGATAGAGC